CTGGGGCGCTGAGCCACAGCAGGAGCTGTAGGAGGCAGAGCAGAGGGCTGGGCAGGGAGCTAGGCTGGGGTTTGCTGGGCACTTCTCATTCTTGGGAGGTCCAGCCACGGGGAGGAAAAGTGTGTCAGTCTCCTGCATAGAAACCCAAGGATAGGACCCTGCATTAGGGACTGGAGGAGAGAAGCCCTGCCAGGAGGCTCCTCCTCCAATGCGGAGCAGCCACTGCCATCTTTCCCACTCATTTAACTTCTCACACATGGCCCTGGCCGGTTTGGCTCAGCGGTTAGAGCGTCGGCCTGGGGTCCAGAGAGACCCGGGTTCGGTTCCCGCTAAGGGCACATACCTCTGTTGCAGTTTGTCCCAGCCCTGGTTGGTCGTGCCGGTGGCAGCCACTGGATGTGTCCCTTTCACATTGTGTTTCTCTCTCACTCTCTCTCTGTCCTCTCTCTCCCCCCACTCTACTGGGCAAAAAATTGAAAAATGTCCCTCGGGTGAGGATAAAAAAAAAAAAAAAAAAAAGTTCTAACACATGGATCCCAGTGATTATCTGATTCCTTTCTTTTCTTCTTTCTTTCTTTCTTTCTTTCTTTTCTTTCTTTCTTTCTTTCCTTCCTTCCTTTCCTTCCTTCCTTCCTTCCTTCCTCCCTTCCCTTCCTTCCTTCCTTCCTTTTTCTTCTTCTTTCTTTCTTCTTCTTCTTCTTTCTTTCTTTCTTTCTAGAGATGGAAGGAAGAGGAAAAGAGAGAGAGAAACATCGATGAAAGAGAACATCGATTGGCTGCTCCTGCTGCCCCTACTGGCGATGGGTCCACAACATGGGCATGTGCTCTGACTGGAAATGGAACGACGATCTCTTGGTGGATGGGTGGATGGCTCAACCACCGAGCCACACCAGCCAGGGATTATTCGGTTTCTTTACCAAAGATTGAAGCCCACATCTGGGATGTGTGACTTGTGCTCAGAGTCCAGTGAAGAAAGGTGGTCAGTGAACGGAAGACCTCTCCAAGGAAGATAACTCAGTGCCCTGACCTAGTGTGTGATGCTACACTGGGCTCTCACACATAGGGACACTGTTGATTCTGCAGCCACCTCATAAGATTAGATCCCTGTCCATGTTGCTCAGAGAGGAACCTGACTCAGAGAGAGGCCAAGTGATGTCATGTCACAGAGGTGTGCCCATGTGTTAGCTCTCCCTCTGTGGTTGGTGTGCATGCACATGTGTGCACACACACAGTTCAGATTTTGGATGACGTACAAAATAATTTTGAGGCATCAGTGGGTGAAAGTGACCCAAGCTAGTGTGTGGGTCATATGTGTGTGTTCCTGTTAGTACCTACAAAGGGGATCAGGTTCTGTCTGTCCGTCCTTTGCAACCCTGAGAAGAGTAGAAAGACAGAGGCCCAGGAAGACATGGGCTGATGGTGGGAGGATGGGCCTGAAGGAGGAGAGCCCTTGCCCATAGAGTTCTGTGGGCCAGACTGCTGGCTGCTAGCCCCTGCTGGGGTTGACCTTCCTCTTGGGGCTACCACAGGGAAGCAGGGTTTTAAAAAAATGTTTTGAAGATGAAGTTAGCTGCACAGGGTGTTGAGAGTGAAATTGAGGGCTTAAATTGAGGAAAGGAAGGGGTTCAGGTCTCACTGATTTTCAGTCAGTTCTGAGCACCTGCTCATGACACGTTAGAGTTGCCCACAGTTCGCTCTTAGACACACAGAAGGACCAGAACTCAGACGGCCCTGCCGTAAATTTATTTTACTTCATCTAACAGTGAATTAGGCATATGTTATGGCAGAAATTTGTCTTTGTTCTCATGCGTGAGTTTGTAAAGGCAGACTCTTAGATTTCTAGGAAGCCCTCTTCTCCCCATTAAAATCTCCAGGAGTCTCTTGCTGATTCAATGAGTGTGCAGTGCTGCATTGTATTGTTTGAATTCTTACTTTTAGAGACACTGACTAATATACCCTTTGTTCTGTTATCTCTTATACCTCTTACCCCTTTCTCCCCTCTAGCCCTCTCCACTGGCCTAGGAAACCCACCCTGCCCCACCACGTTGAGCCTGGAAGGAAAGAGAGCCTCATGCCTAAGCTGTGGAGAGCACCATGGATGTGACGAAGATGGGCATGATCCAGCTGCAGAACCCCAGCCACCCCAGGAGGCTGCTGTGCAAGGCCAACCAGATGCAGCTGACCAGGACGCTGTGTGATGTGGTCATCATGGTGGACAGCCAGGAGTTCCACGCCCACAGGACTGTGCTGGCCTGCACCAGCAAGATGTTTGAGATCCTCTTCCTCCGCAACAGCCGGCACTGTACTCTGGACTTCCTCTTGCCAAAGACTTTCCAGCAGATCCTGGAGTATGCGTACACGGCCACGCTGCAAGCCAAGGCAGAGGACCTGGATGACCTGCTGTATGCGGCCGAGATCTTGGAGATTGAGTACCTGGAGGAGCAGTGCCTGAAGATCCTGGAGACCATCCAGGCCACAGATGACAATGACACGGAGGCCACCATGGCGGATGGTGGGGTGGAGGAGGAAGAGGACCAGAAGGCTCGGTACCTCAAGAACATCTTCATCTCGAAGCATTCCAGCGAGGAGAGTGGGTACACCAGTGTGGCTGCGCAGAGCCTGCCCGGGCCCCTGGCGGACCAGAGCCCATCAGTCTCCACCTCATTTGGTCTTTCAGCAATGAGTCCCACCAAGGCTTCAGTGGACAGTTTGATGACCATAGGACAGGCTCTCCTGCAGGGAACTCTTCAGCCATCTGCAGGGCCTGAGGAGCCAACTCGCTGTGGGTGGGAGACTCCCTGGGATGGCCGAGGTGAAGACAGAGATGATGCAGGTGGAAGAGGTGCCCAGCCAGGACAGCCCTGGGCCAGCCGAGTCCAGCATTTCAGGTGGCCTGGGGGACAAGGTCGACGAAGGGGCAAAGAGGGGCCCGGGACCCCAACTCGGAGCAGTGTGATTACCAGTGCGAGGGAGCTGCACTATGGGTGTGAGGAGAGCACTGAGCAGCTGCCAACCCCTGCCAAGGCTGGCCAGGGTCCCCCAGGCTCACCAGAGCACCTGGCGCCCACAGCGGAGAAACATCTGGGTATGTACTCTGTGCTGCCCAACCACAAGGCTGAGACTGTGCAGAACATGCCATCGTCAATGTCCTTCGGCCTCCCTGTGCAGCCTGCTCTAGCTGTCTCCATGGACTTCAGCACCTATGGGGGTCTTCTGCCACAGGGCTTCATCCAGAGGGAGCTGTTCAGCAAGCTGGGTGAGCTGGCTGTGGGCATGAAGTCGGAGAGCCAGGCCATCGCGGAGCAGTGCAGTGTGTGTGGGGTGGATCTTCCTGACAACGAGGCCATGGAGCAGCACAGGGAGGGCCCACACCAGTCCCACCTCATACCCCAGCCCATGCTCCTGGCCCTGGCAGCCTGCCTCCATATCTGGCTGCTCCTGAGTCTTGGGGCCTGATTCCCTGTCCTCCCTGCTGTTTGTGAGAAACCACTTGTTTCTAAATCCTGGGGCTGGGGTTAGTTTTTCAGGTGTGGTGATGGACCTAGGGTCTTTCCTAAGCATTGGTGAACTCCTGGGCCCAGCTTCTTCCTAGGCTCCTTCCTCTCTCTGCTTTCGGCCTCCCGTTTGCTTGGTCCACTGTTGGATCAAGGAAGCAAAAAAAAAAAAAAAAAAAAAATCAGAAAAGCAAAAAGAATTCAAAAAATGAGGATAGTGTAAGGAGCCTCTGAGACAACTTCAAGCATGCCAACATTCACATCTTGGGGGGTGCCAGAAGGAGAAGACAGAGAACAAGAAATTGAAAACCTGTTTGAAACAATAGTGGCAGAAAACTTTCCTAACTTGGTGAAGGAAACAGACATACAAGTTCAGGAAGCACAGAGAGTCCCAAACAAGATGAACCCCAAGAGGCCCACACCAAGACACATCATCATCAAAATGCAAAAGGTTCAAGACAAAGAGAGAATCTTAAAAGCAGCAAGAGAAAGGCAGCTAGTTACCTACAAGGGAGTTCCCATAAGGCTGTCAGCTGATTTCTCAAAAGAAACTTTGCAGGCCAGAAGGGAGTGGCAAGAAATATTCAGAGTGATGAAAAGCAAAAACCTACAACCAAGATTACTCTATCCTGCAAAGCTGTCATTTAGAATCAATGGCCATATAAAGAGTTTCCCAGACAAGAAAAAGTTGAAGGAGTTTATCACCACCAAATTGTTATTATATGAAATGATGAAGGGTCTTTTTGAAGAAAAAAATAAAATATATGAACAAACAAAATGGCAATGAATACATATCTATCGACAATGGAATCTACAAATAAAATGAACAAGCAGAACAGAAACATTCTCATAGATGCAAAGAACATTTTGTTGGTTGCCAGATGGGAGGGGGTTTGTTGGAATGAGTGAAAAAGGTGAAGGGATTAAGAAGTACAAATTCATTGCTAGACTGAGAAACCTCAAAGAGAAAGGGAAATGGGTTGGTCGGGGTCAAGCAAGAAATAAACCAAAGAACTTATATGCATAAGCAATGGACACAGACAATAGTGTGGGAAAAGGCAGGAGGAGGGTGGGAGTGGGGAGGAGGGGGTGAATGGGGGGGAAATTAGGAACATCTGTAGTACATTTAACAATAAAGATTAAAAAAAAAAAGTTTTCCAGTGATAGATCCAATGCCTTTTCCTCCTGTACATAATGCACAAAATTTTCCCAAGTTTTGGGTACACTACCTGAAAACAATTCTAAGACAATCTGACCAACTCACTTGCCTTCAGTATCTATGTCAAAGATTCAGGCGTCACTAGGGTTGGAAGGCTTAGCTCGGGCAGAATGGTGTGACATTTTCACTTGTAGACACATTTAGAAGTGGGTTCAGAAGTGGGTTCAGAAGTGGGTTCAGTGGGTTTAGAAGTGGCCACCCAGAAGCTCAAGGTTACCTTCCAGGATGGAGCCCAGCCTACTCCTCCCTGTACCACTGGCTGCTGGAAGCACATCTCATACTTCTCCTCCTCTCGGCTCTACCTCTCAGCCTCTCAAGCTTTCTTCAGCCTCTGATCCTCAGAAACCATGTCTAGCAAGTCCACCACAGAAGCCAAAGCAGCAGCCCCCATGGCTTCAGTGGCAGCTTAATCAAGGTCCCTGGGCTCTGCCACTCTAGCTTCAGTAGCACCTTTGTGTGCTGCTCCAGGGGCTGTTTTTAGTTGAAAGAACAATTGACTGATAAACAATTATTATTTAGACTTCAGTATTTGCCAGACATTTTTTGAAAAAAATGAATGAAGTAAGCCTATCCCTATTAGGAAAATAACTGATGATAATTGTTGCTGATTATAATGTTTGTTTTTTAAAAAATTAAAAGTTTGGAAAAGTTGTATCTGCCATAGTGAGCTCAATAGCTTCCCCAAATGCAAACTAGACTAAAAAAATTTAATGTCAAAAAGATAAAAGGTTACCATACCCAATGATATGGTATCAGATTTCACATTACAACTGCCTTTAAGAAACTACCATTTTTTGCCCTGGCTGCTTTGGCTCAGCAGTTAGAGTGTCGACCCATAGACCAAAGAGTCATGGATTGAATTAAGTCAATGGCATGTATGTCGGTTGTGGTTTGGTCTCCAGCCCTGTTCGGGGTCATGCAGGAGGAAATGAGTTGATGTGTCACTCTCACACCAATGTTTCTCTCTCTCTCTCTCTCTCTCTCTCTCTCTCTCTCTCCCTCCTATTTTCCTTCTCTCTCTCCCTCCCTTCCTCCCTCTCTCCCACCCTGCCTGAAGATAATTGGGAAAATATTCTCAGGTGAGGATAAAATTTTAAAAAAGAAACTACCATTTCTCAAGTTTGATATTGTATAAAAGAGAAATATCCATAATTAATTGAAAAGACTATTAAAACATTCTCCCAATTCTTATTACATATTTGTATAAAGGTATATTTTCTTCATATACTTTAAACCAAAATAAGATATCACTACAGAATGCAGAAGCATATATGAGAATATGTTCTGTTAAACCAGATATTTTAAAGATTTGAAAAAATATAAAAGAGTGCCATTCTTCTAATGAAATTTTTATTTTGAAAACTACATTACTTTTCATTGAAAAATCTACTATAGTTGCATGAGATGGGCACATATATTTTTTAAAGCAAATTAATAAATAAATATTTATTTTATTTTTATTATTTTTTATCCTCACCCGAGGACGTTTGCATTTATCTTCAGATAGAGCGAGAGGGAGAGAGAGGGAAAGAGAGAGAGAAACACATCAATGCATGAGAGACACTTCTAGTGGTTGCCACCCACATGACCCAAATGGGACTGGGGACAATCTGCAATTGAGGTACATGTCCTTAGTGGGAACCGAACCCGGGACTCTCTGGTTCACAGGGTGATGCTCTAATCATTGGGGCAAACCAGCCAAGTTGGCTAGTTGTTCTTAATGCATGTACTGGTGTTTGTAGCTGAGGTTCCCTATCTAACTGTCCTTTTCTTTATGTATCACCTACTTGGGTGAGGATGATATGGAGGCTCACATTCTACATTGTTTTCAGTAAGAGTTGGGTCTTGATACAAATTTTAGCCAAGATAAGGGACCTCAGTAGCTCATCGTTTGGGCATGAGTGTTCCCTGTTTTCTCTAGATTTCACTAGCTACTTATAATGCTGTAGACAGTCAGCTGTAGCAGGATGAGTGCAGGCAGCTGGCCAGTTCTGGGGGAAGACTGGCAAGGATCCAGGGAGCAAGTGGGCTCCAACCACCCCCTTTAGATGTATGGGTGCTGTGTTTAGTTTGGGGAGGCAAGCTAAGGACTCCTGCATCTCCAGGCATTTTGATGACAGGTTTTGCAGCACATCCTTCCACCTCCCAACACACACACATTGACCTTGATACCATAGATAGTCAGGGAGCAGTGTGGAGTCTCCAACATTGGCCAAGGTAGGGCAGAGGAAGGTTCTTGCACTGAGTGTACTAAAGCCTAGAAAGATTAATGGATAGGGCCCAAGCATGCCAAAAACTAGAAAGATAATTACATGTAAAAAAAAAAAAAAAAAAGCTCTTTTCTCCCTATTTCTACAAGAACACACTTGAGCAGGAAGGGGACATCATCTTTGATATGAGAATCAACCACTCTGCCAGGTTGCTGTACCTGAATAAACCTCTTTCCTTTTCCACCTGCACCTGTCTCACACGTTTGGCTTTTGTCTTGTGGTTGGCAGCCAAATCTACCTTTCAGTTACACCCAGGGCATTTTTCTGTCTCTATCCTAACCTCCCATACTTTCTCCTACCTGCAGAAAAATAACCATATCACTGCTATTTGATCTAAGGGAGTTATCACTGCTTCCACTGCAGAACCACAATTAATCACCTTGTCAGGTAGTTCCAAGTTTTTTCTTCCTCTCAATTCATCACCTCTGGATGCAAAACACCCTTCATATTGCATCCACCAAATACAGCAACAGTATTTTGTAAACACTAGTAGGTAAGAGAGAACAGAGAAGCTAACTGAAGCAAGAGGCAGCTAAAGAAAAGCTGGGAGAGGTCCATGCCATGGTGCAGCCAAGTATCCCCCTAGTTCTTCTGGTTGTGCACCACATCCAGTGGTCTCAAGCATCATACCAGATGCAAAATCCAGTTCTTCCAACCTTCCTAGCATTCCTCAAGTTCAGAAATAAGGATGACCCTGCTTACCCCCCCCCCCCAACAAAGAGCTAGATCATCCCAGGCCCTCCTACCCTTTCTTAAAATTAAGTAATTATTTCCCATGACCACCAGGTACCTGTTCCCAGAGCCCAGGCTCTCTCTTATGTGAAGACATTTGATGCAAAGATATAAACAAAATTCTAGAGAGTTAAGTCCAGGATTACATAAAGAGAAAAACAATGCACAATGACAATGGACAATCAGATTTTTAGACAAAGAAAGGCATTGGAAAACATTTTAACATAGATTACTGAGTTGACAAATGAAAATGAATATGCAAATATGCATAGCTCATGGACACAGACAACAGAATGGTGAAGGGGTTTGGTGGTGTTAGGGTTAGGGTTGGGGAGACAAGGGCTGGCTAGAGTTGGGCAATGGGGGCAAGTTGGGGGACATCTGTGACAGTGTGAACAATAAAAATAACTCAAAAAAAATTGTCAGTAAACTAGGGATATAAAGAAACTTTAATTTAATAGACTCAGAAAACCACAATCTCACACTGCATGAAACACCAGAAGCAAAGTAAAATCAAGATGATTACAAATATAAAATGGCAAGTTTACACACCAATAATGAACTGTCAAGAAGAAAAACAAAAACAACCCCATTTACAATTGCAGCAAAAAAATAGAAAAATAAAAAAATCTAGAAATACATTTAACCAAGGAGGTATAGATCTCTACTTGAAAAATTATAATACACTGAAGAAAGAAATTGAAGAAGTGGCAAATAAATGGAAGACTATGCTACATTTTG